ATTTTGAAGCACCGGGGGTTCCCCCGTAAAGGAAAATCCCCGGGGGGGGGTGGTTTTTCCCCTTTGGGGCCCTGGGTTTTTTTTTCCAAGATGGTGGCCCTTTCAAAGGTTTTCCAAAGGGGGGGGGGGCTTCCAACATTTTGGAAAAGGGGGGTCGCCCCCCCCCTGGAAACTCCCTTGCCAGTTAAAAAAAAAACCCGATTTTTTCGCAAATTTTTTTTCTTTTGGGCTTAAAGGGGGGGGTGGGAGCCCAGGGACAGCGCCCCCCCCCCCCCCCCTAGCATGGTGCGTGACGAACGAACCTGCAACATCGGTTGTTCATCCAATGAGCGGCGGATGTTGCACTTTCTTTCACCGTCTCACGGCGGGAAAGTGTAAAGCAGACAGGGGGGGGCGGGGGCGATCCTACACGTCCACCATACGCCCTTCATCTCTCGCAATCAGTTTGCCCAGACAAGCGAGAATACCGAACACAAACACTGCTATCGATTAGTCGCAATAGCGAAAAGCGACATGACTCCCTCCCTCACAGTTTGCAGATGCATCGGGCCGTTGCTAATGTATATAGGACGGCACCAACCCGCCCCAGAAACACACGTTGAACGACGAACACCAGTGAGACGACACGCGGTGTTTCAAAACCGGCTGAGCACCGCGATACAGATAGCGCGTCCGCGCTTGAGAACTTGGCAGCTACTGTAGAACTTCACTCTTTCACTCTCAACATGTTTCATCACATAAGAGCTTTGAGGACCATGTGTGGACTACACTTAATAGCGGCCGTTTGTAGAACACCAGCCTCGGCCAACACTTGGCAGCTAAGAGCATCATTCTTTCACTCTCAACATTTTATCGAACACAAGAACTTTGAGGACCATCTGTGACCTACGCTAATACCAGCCATTCGTAGCCTACATGAGGAAAAACAAGAACCCCAGCCTCGGCCAAAACTAGGCAGCTAGGAACATATGCTTTCACTCTCAACATTTTATCGAACACAAGACCTTTGAGAACCATCTGTGACCTATACAAGCAGCCATTTGTAGCCCACATGACGAAAAGTAAGAACCCAAGCCTCTGCCAACACTTCGAGGATGGTTGCAGAGTGCAGGCGTTATCTTGACCAACTTCCGACGGCAGGCGGCGTGCGAGATAGTCCGCATTGTCCCCCATCTGGGTGTACCAGCTCTTGTCAAGCGTTGACGTGGGCTCGTGTGTACCGAGAATCACGGTGTCTCCACATACACGCGACAGCTTTTTCTGCCAGTTCAGGATGCAAAACAAACGGCACTGGAAACTCCACACGCTTACGCCACGATAAGGATCGAATCAGAGCCTGCAGTAAAATTTAAGTCATCCTACAGATAAGCTATCCAGATGGTGACTTGGCAGCTTGAGTCTCCCGGTGCAGCTCGATTTCTCGTTCGAACTTGTAGCGGTCGAAGCTCTCCTCGTTGGTGTGCTGGTTGAGGCACGAATTCACTGGAGGTGTGATGGGGGTGGAGCGGCGCGTGGGAAGAGGAGCAACGGTGAGCTTCACGCGGACACAACAAGGGACGTACACAAACCACGTACCCTTGCCGCGTTTGCAAAAGAGGAGGAAATGGATGCAACACACGCAGCAGATGGGTTGCTACATCAATTGTATGCAAAAGGAGGTGGCGGTGGGTGTTGGAAATGCGGCTTATCTGTACCGGTTGAATCTACGAACTATCATCGAGGATCTCCGGACAAATTGCGCGCCAAGGTTGTTGTTGTCACCTGCCCTTGTCGCGCTACACGCCCTGGACCGTTCGAAGATCATAGAGGACTTTACGGGTGAGCCTCTAGGGGCGGCTCGTGCGCTGCTGGGGCAAGCAGCACAACGAAGAACGGCCGTATGACTCACTCAAGGCGTTTTGTTCCCTGCAGGAGAACACGACCAGCATCCCCTTCTCCCTGGCGCACGCGGCAAACTTGGCCACGCTGTCGTCGCACCTCTTCAGAGCGATCTCCTTCAGCTCCTCCCGTAATCTCTGCAAGCGATGAGCAAGCAAGGACAACCAAGGAGGCGTTTCCGTGAGAAGTAGCGCTTTTCCGCCGGGCCTTTGGGGTTTAGTCGACGACGGACTGTACGTACAGAAGAAGTGTTGTTGATGCTTGGCTATTCGAGTCGGGGCTTGTAGGACCTGCTGGTTGTTATACACAGATGGAAGACATTCCTCGGGAGGGTTGCTGAAGACGACCGGCCTAAATACTGAAGTAGCGTCCACCTTTAGCTCAAGTGCCCTAAAACTGAGGTTGCACCGAGCGGATGAGTTCGAACCTGGACCAACCCCAACACCCCAACCCGATTTCCTGCAGCACTCGCGCACTGCTCTTGTCTGCTATTTTTTTATTTCGTAATATGACCCAACGAATCCATCTCTAGGAAAATATGTCTAGTATAGATTAGCAAAGAACTCATAGCGCCAGAGAAGGCTACCTGCATTTCCACCATCTCCCGAGCACCACACAGCTACTCTGTTTTGGCTGGTGTCGTTCCATTGCTTGCAACTTCAAACTTCAAGTCGTTTTTTCGTGGGGGCGTCGTGGACGGGATACTGATAAGCGAGCGCAGCCAAATTGGAGAGCAGGCACAAGCTCTGTGTTCAAAGCTACCACAACAACGGGACCACTGTAGACAAGCAGAGCATGGTGTGAAGGCGGAGGAAACTGGATGCTGACTCGGACTGCAGAGTGGAAACACAGGCTCTATTGCTCTTTCTTTCAGATGCTCTTTTTCGTCTCACGTGTTCTGCTCTCTTGCTCCAGCTGAGCCGATCGTTCCTCCCTCCGTCCTTAAGCGTTGCCATGGTACCCTTATCTATCTCTTCGCTGTTACCCTGACGAGGGGCAGTGCCAGGTAGGTGGTCGGTAATAAGCACACAACAACAGCACCGCACACCGCACACAGCACACCGCACCCACAGCAAGGCAACTGGGGGGGCGCGGGCAAGCGGGGTACGGCCGTCAGTGCTGTCTGCGGAGCTCCCTTCAAAGCCCTTTGTTGCTCGCCAACTCGCCAACGGTGACTATTTCGACAAAACACCAAGGGAGGTTTGAGGTCAGGGCGACACACCACGACACCTACGCGAAAGGGTAAGGTAGTACAGTAGTAGTGGGGCTGGCCAAAAGCATGTCGCGATTCCTGTCGGGCTTTTGGGGAGGGAACCAGCAACAGGCAGAGGAGGAACAATCCTCCACAGCGACCGGCTCCTCCTCGGCAACAACGGGCGCTGCCTCATGGATCACCATGAACGACCCGCCGGGGGGGGGGCGGGGAGAGCCCGTCATGGCGGTGAACAAGTCCACCGTGGACGATATACTGGACAAGCTCGGGGACGAAGGCGCAGTGAACGTCGTGGCAATCTTTGGCGCGGCCCGCGGGGGCAAGAGCTTCCTGATGAACCAGCTCGCGGGACAGGACGACATCTTCAAGATATCCAACGACAAGGTTATTATAGTTGTTGCCATAGAGTTGGGGATAACTCTTATCAAACAGAGTGGCAGGAAGGGCCTGTGTGCTGCGGAACGTGTTCCGTCGCTAGCATGGGGTCCTCACGCGGGAGGTGTACTTGTGTACACTGCTGCTTTGTCCTGCATTGCGCGCTCAACATAAGCGACGCATCCTCTGATACATAGTCTAGACCTTGAGGAGCGCTATTGTACAAGCAGACGAAGGCGCGCACTCAACACGTACCCAACACCCGACACACGAAGGCGAGGCAAGAGGCAGGGTTGACCTTTATGTCGTGCAACGTAGAGCTTCGCCAGTTTACGAAGGCAAGGTAGAGGCGTTGTTTTACTTTCATCCTGGTCATTGGTTACATAATATTGATGACTTCATTATTTATTTCATCAAACGAATTCGGGGCCGTAACTTAGAACACGACGCTGACACAAACACGCTTGTTCCCGCTGCCGTTCCAGTCGGCAATCGGCAACTAGTATTACCCCTTCCCCCCATCTTGAAATTATCCATACTTGTAGCTTTCAGAGAAGATAACCTGGTAGCCGACTGTCATTGTAAAGAAACAGACTTATAAGTGAGACAGAACAAGCCTCGATCGTGCTTGCCACCAGTCCGATGAAAGTGACTCAAGTCGCCGGCGGCCGGCATACGACTCAAACCAAATGAACCCAAAACCAGTTCTCCACTCCTGTCATTTGTGAAGCGATCGCGTCCATGTCTACCTGCAAAATGATCAACAAGAAGAGGAGCAACTTGCGCACTGGAAACAGTGCTGACCAAATCCATCAGAAGTTGGCGAGTGATGTTCGTGCGCCAGCTTGTACGTCGTGCAACAGCCCCACATTTGGGATCGGCACTATGCACCGACAGCAGAGGAGCTGTTTGCAAAAGTAACCCTACCCCCATAGGACAATAGGGCTGCATGTGACGTCGTCGACAGGGCTGAGTGTCCGTAGGTATATCAAAAGAAATAGCCGTTCGTGGGAAGTTATCTGCTGTACGGGCACAGCTGCCCGTTGCGTGTAGTCGTCCGATATTGCATATTTCTCGACTCCAAGGGGTGGGTACCAATACTGCTGTAGCGGCCGGAAGACGAGCATCCGCCTCGACTCACTAGCAACAAAAGTTGCCTCAAGTGCGTCCTCTGAACAGCACTTACCCGTGCCTGGAATGGGGGCTCGTTATCCACCACCACCACTGCTGTCTTACACATTTTACCGCGTTTCTCCCCCTGTTATGTTTAGGATCCGTGCACGCAAGGCGTGGATGTGTCCCGTGCCGTGGTGCCCCTGAAGGACTTCGCCACCTTGGACGGATGCACCGCGCCGAGGGGGGTGTCTACCAGCAACCAAGGTTAGCCGCGTGTTAGCTTCTTTTTGTCGTGTTGGCTTTTTCGTCTACAACACGTATTATAGTAAGCGTGTCACGTGCGGTGTGTGTGTGCAGGTACTGTGGGCACGTGCAGATTGATGAGCGCCTCCCAACTCCCCGTTATTGGATGCTTGTGCCGTCCTGTTTTGCACCGATGCACCCACCGCGTCGTGTGACGATTTTCAACTCGTCTTCCTCTCGTTGTTGTTGCTGACGATGCCGCCACCGCCACCAACACCCCACCTACCGAAAGTAAAGTTCGTTCGATTTATAGCCCCTCCTCCGCTCTTGTTGCTGTCGACACCTCCGCCGCCACCAACGAAAACCCCCCGCCTAATAGTTCGGGTGTTGTTCGCGGACGTTGAGGGTCAGGGCGACCGGGACGCCGCCTACGACGCGAGGCTCGCCTCCGCCATCCTCCCTCTCACCAAGTGCGTCATCTTTAACTGGAGGGACTCGCTGCAGGTGGACCGGATGCTGAACCTCCTCGGGGTGATGCAGAGGGCGGCCCACAACGTGGACCTAGGCAAGTGGTTGGGGTGACCTAGGGTTAGGGGGGCGGCGTAGGCCCCCTGTAGCAGCGCGGGTGGCCGGCGTAAGTGCCGGTGAAGTAAAGGGTACAGGTAGTGCAACTTTGCACGCACCCGTGAATCTAGGCATTTGAGCACCTGGAATAACTCTCCAGAGAAGCCATGCTGGTAGAAGTGCAAGTGTTTTTTTAAGATGCTTCCTCCTCAACATTTAACACGGGCAGGCGCTGTGTTCACCTTTCAGCTCGCGGCCTCCGAGACTAGGGTGGTGGAGCCGATCTGGTGCATGGTCGATTGTGGCCTGCGCTGCTTGTATTGCTACTATATACTGTTACGTGGGCTTTACATGCCGGCGGGGCTCCACGACCAAATCTTGCACACCCGCATGCTTCCATGATGCTGATCGTTGTTATTTTCCTAATTCCCTTTTTTGCCCTGTTCTTTTCTCGAGCCGATATGGTGCATGGTCAATTGCGGCCTGCTCCGCTTCTACTGCTATTACATACTGCCACGTGGCTTTACATTCCAAGGGACCGCACGACCAAATCTTGCACACCCGCATGCTTCCATGATGCTGATCGTTCTTTTGTTGCTATATATATATATTGTTTTTTTTCTTGTACAGGCGATGACGGGGAGGGCACGGGCGGTTCCAAGTTCGGCCACCTGCACGTGGTGTTCAGAGACTGGAACTACAGCGGCACTGCTGAAGACGTGGGTTCTCGCAGCGCACCAGGCGTTTTTTGTCGTGGGCGGCGGCGGGGGGGGGGGGGGTCCTTTGGCTGGGCAGCAAACGTTTCGTTTTTGTCTCTATTGTCGTTTTTGCCTGGAATCGATGGTCGTGTGTGCTCTTCTGTAGTGCTTCCTGCCCTGTCACGTGCTCTCCAAAACCTGTGCTAATCCTGTGCTGCCCTCAAACGTTATCGTACTCTTTGCAACCTCAGGCAGAGTAAAGTGTGCGCCCTCTCGTTTGTATTTTCTTTTCTTTTTCTTTCCTGAAAGTCTGTGTGTGAATATGTCTTCAGCCCGGCCTGTTTTCGTGGACGTTTGTGCTTGTTGGTCTGCTGTTCGATGAGTAGGTGAAGAAGCAGCTGTTCGGGCTAGACAACAGGGGCATGGGGTCGGAGGTGGCCGTCAAGAACGAGCTCAGGAGGACAATCACGGTACGCCATCTATCATACCATCGCAATAGCAGCACTGTGCTTCCGCGCGTGGCCGCCAGTTCTTCAGTAGTTGTCCTACGGGACCACTATCTAGGGCGTAACCACCAACGTCGTATCGCTCTTTTCGAGAGGTGGAGCACCGTTTTTCTGATCTAGTTACGATGGTATAGGTTTTGCCTCGGACGACGGTCTCATCTTGCCCTCCTTTTCTCGCGACGGGAACAGACCACCAGCTTGGTGACAATTTGCTTGTGTCTGCTGGTGTGTGTGTGTGTGTGTTGGGGTTTCCTGCTGCAGGCGGCGTTTGCGAGCGTGACGGTGTGGCTATTCCCCGCCCCCGTGGAGATGACGAGCGAGCTGTCCAAGGAACTCAAGTCGGAAGACCTCAGTGAGGTGCGTTGTGTATCCTGCGTTTTTTTGGACACGAGCATTGCACCGCTGTGTTGTTGTTGTTGTGTTTTTTTGGTTCATTGCACCGCGTTCTGTCATGTCTGGCGGATGTGTGTCCATACGCCTTGACCACAGTCTATGCTTCCCCCCTACACTGCTACTACGGCTGTTGTGTGTTGTTTTGCTGTGCTTCTGTCATTGCGTCTTCGAGACCGTTGTCGTTCTACTGATGTAACATCTGTGCCTTTGTTGGTCCCGGTTATGTTACACCTGCTGTGGCGGCAAGTTTGGTACCACAGCAGTGCCACTGGTCTTGGGGGTGCAATAACAGCCTATTTTTTTGGTGTTAATGTTTTTTTTTTTTTTCACATGCTCGCGTTGCCTTCCATGTGATCGCCGCTGCCGCCTTGTGCTTCCGGTGCTCCCGACCTGTTGGTGATGATGATTTGTGCCGGGCGTTCTCTCGCTGATTTCCGTTCGCTGCTCCGCCTCTCACGCACTGCTGTGACGCTGTTTTCGCCGTTCGCCCTCGCGTTCGATTCTGCCGCTCGCCATCCACGCCGCTGCTGTCGTCGTTGTTGTCGTTGTTGCTCCGCAGGGCTTTGTCTCCGAGCTCAAAGCGTTCCGCTCCACGCTCTCGAGCCAGCTCTCGGCGCCCACGGTGTTCGGCCCCGCCAATCCCGTGACGGGCCACTCGCTGGGCTCTTTGGTCCCTGCTCTGGTGAGAACGACCACAGCAAATGGCACGCTGTACGAGGGGAGACGAACCAGTCCACCTTTGTTTTTTTTTTTTTTGGAAATATACACTTACAGAAAGACTACCCGTTCGGGATATGTCCAAAGATAGTCGAAGGGTGTTGCTTGCGTTTTTTTTGTTTTTTTCTTTCCTCTCTCTCGATAGTTCGAAGTACAGCAGTAGTGGATCCCAATATACCGTACCGCGGCGTAGTGACGGACAAAAAATCAGGGCGTTATATCGGGACCCGTGCTTTGGGGGAAGGTCCCTGAATAGAACATTAGTAGTAGGCTAGGTTGTTGTGCCAAGGAATGTTTTACCGCGATATGTCGGGACCATTACCGTATGTATACCACAATGAATCCATTTGGGGTTAGCGGAGGCTACCCGTGTTTCTACGGTTCCCCGTTTTACTGCTGTGCGCGACTGGCGCTGCTGTCATGGACACGCTGGTCACACGGGGACGTGTGGTCCGTCACCCCGTGTGTTGGTGAAATATGTCCAGTCGGTACGGTATTCTACTCTTGTTAAGTTTTTGGAAGCGCGGTATCAGTGGGTCTAGGGGGTAGAGGTCGGTAGATAAACCCATGGCACGGATGGGACGTTCACCGTTTCGTTTTCTGCGGCGTTTGGTGCCTGCCGCATTTGTTTGCTTCATCAAGCCGGCGTTCTTTTATTCTTCTTTGAGCTACGCACACTACGATGCTTCTTGCTTCGCATGAAATGGTAGTATGCCTTACCCCCCTCTTGTTTGTGTTGCTGCTGCTGCTTTACTCCCGCTGGGCTGCTGCTTTAACCGCTATTGTTCCTTACTATGGCCGGCACGTGCTAATTTTGCGTAGGTTGAGGTGCTGAACAAGGGCGAGGTGATCATGCCGCAGAGCACGTATCAACAGATGCTCGACATGGAGGCGCAGCAGGTCAAGAAAACGTGAGAACTTATCGGAACGCTCTTTGCGGTCGTACGTGTGGACATTATTCTCGGAGCGCTCTATGCGGTCGTAACAGCAATGAGCCATTAACTTGCGCCGCAGTACTTGGTGATCTCTGCTGCATCATACGACACAAGGGTTGGTTGTGTTGTTCATTTACGAGGACAGGGGGTGCAAATCTTGTTAATCTTCGTCATTGTATTGGGTCGGAGTTCCCATTCATTGAAGATCAAGTTTAGCTTTAGTTTGTCATTACTATGATCGAAAGGACGAGGTAGGATTAAGAATCCGAGCCGACGATGGAAAAACTAGTAGATTTATCTACATGGCCACCCATCGGAAGAACTCAAAACTCTTCTGAATCCTCCAAGATCTTCTGAGTCATTCGGCAACATCAGCGATGGCACGCATAGACGTAGTGGGTGTGCCATACGAGAACAGGCCCAAGAATGAAAATCAAACCAAGAGGGGCTATTATTGAAACCTTGCGTGATTCTTGCTTTGGGGAAGGAATCCACGCCGTGTGTTCATTTCGTGTTCGGTGCCTCTTGGTTTGTCTTGGAATGATCTCCGCAGGTACCTTTCGAAGGCCAATGCTCTGATCGAAACGGGCATGAAGGCTTGTGACAACGGTCCCCCCGTGCCGCCGAAGGACCTAGAAGCTGACATGGAAGACGAGATACAGGTGGCGCGTTTATACTCCTGTTTTCTCGGTTTTCGTGTGTTGTTGTCGTTGCTGCTGCTCTTTGTTATGTGTTGTCGTACAGTCAGCGCCGGAGTTTAAGAAACGCACAATTTGGGGTAGAGGCTCGATGTATTACTTCATCATCACCGTCGAGCGTCGGTAATTATATCATTATGTAGAGTTTGGTGTAGGATCCACGACTGAGGGGTGTTTCCTTTGTCTATTTTTCTTTTTATCGCCAAAATCTTCATCTTTGTTTCTCAAAAGGTTTGTTTCTCAATCGCCGGCGCCAACTAACTGTTGTTTCTTACAAAAAGGACTATGTACGTTGTTGTGAGGGTTGGAAGTCGTAGGTGAGAATTTACACGGACCATTGTGTAGCACGCACTCGGATTTTTCCGTGTGCTTTGCTGTGTCTGTTGGCTTTGTGCACGCAAACAATTCGTGTTCCAATCTTTTGTGTCGCGTTGTGCTTGAGTGCTTGCATGTTGGGCATGCTCCAGAGGCAGCCACATGGCTGGGAACACCGAAAAAAACTCCGATTTCTTGAGTGTTGAGGACTGAGCCAGTTGTAAATTTTCCATGTACATATACTGCGAATTACAAGGGATCCCTCGGGGGTGGGCTCATGAGAGAGCAGTACAGCAGTGTCGTCGAGGGGTGATGCAAGATGAAAATATCGCCACACCAGCAGGCTAGCAGGTCCACAGCTGGCTGCCAGCTACCGGTGGCGACGTTTCCGCAAGCTCGACACCTGACGTGCTTTGACTCGAAAAGCCCGCCGAATCGCCAACGAACCAGAGAGAGCAGTTGAGAATCTGATGCAACACCACATGGGAACCTCTTATGTGGCCGAGGATGTTTCTTTTCTTGTGTATGGGGTATAGTAGACTACCCCCACGACGACTATGTACGTTTTTGGTGTGACTATTGAGGTTTTAGTGTTGGACTGGGCACCTGTTCTCATGGTCAAGTTCTTTTATTTTGGATGTTTTTTAGGCTCAAGTTACCAAGTTCTGGAGTGGTGTCGCGTTCTGTATACAACAGCAGTCTTGCGAACATTTTCACTCGCTCGATACTGTAACAGGCCCTTTTGTCCGACTTCGAAAGCGAGGCCAAAACGCGCGGAGCCAAGGCTGACGCGGTGGCGGAAGGCGCCAAGGAAATCAGCGACAGCCTGGAGCGTGGGATGCAGGGGCTCCGCGCCCACAACACCGCGGTGCTCGGTGTTCACCTCAAGACTGCCGTCAAGGCAGCTAGGTACGTGTCAACCCATCGTCCATGTTCATCACCGGACAGGATATACAGACTGTCGTAGAGGAGCTAGGTGCTTGCCTACAATTCTTGTTCGAGCTACTCATGTGCCAAACCAATTTGCCCATCGTGTCAATACTTACTACTCGACACGATATTGATAGGGATATTTTCGATGCAATGCCTGCCAAAATGTAGACCAAAGACCGATCGAAAGCCTGTTTGTAGACCAAAGGCCGGTCAGTTGCAATACCGACCGAAATGCAGACCAAAGATCGATCAAATGCCAAATACCGACCAAACTGTCGACCAAAGGCCGGTCAGATGCAATACACCGACCAAAATGTAGACCAAAAGCCGATCACATGCCAAACACCGATCAAATGCCAAATACCGACCAAACCAAACTGTCGACCAAAGGCCGGTCAGATGCAAAACACCGACCAAAATGTAGACCAAAAGCCGATCACATGCCAAACACCGACCAAATTGTAAACTCAAGGTTTTATTTTATTTTTTTCCGTCTCGGGGGGGACGCTCTTTGTTCTTGCTGTCACAGGGCATCATTCACGACGGGTTTCACGCAAGCCTCCAGGACCAAGATGCCGCTCCCCCCGTCCGAGCTGACTGCGATGGCCTCGGCCGTGTCTTCGCGAGCGAGGGGCCAGCTGCACGCGGTGCCTTCGGCGGGACCCGACGACGACGCTATGGAGGAGGCCCTCTCGGCGCTCGGCGACTTCATCGAGCTCGCCATTAGCAAGGAGAGTGTTGGGGGAGGGTTCCCAGGGCTTGGGGGAAGGGGAGGGGGGAGGGCATGCTCATGTTTGGAGGAGGGACTTCGCTCGCTGAATCATACAATTTGGTACGAATTTTTGTGTTAATCCGAAGAATTGTCCTCGTTCCCCAGTGAGGATGGTGAGTGTTGGTCGGCTTTTGTTCTCGTCGACCTTGCACCAACGTTAGCTTCCGATTCGCGCATCCGTAGGTCAGCAAATGGTTTGTTTTGTTCCGTTGGTGCCCAATAGAGAGAGACGACTTGCAACGCGTGGCAACCAAGCGTTAGGGTCAGCAGCCCTCAAGGATGACCAGCCTCCTTACACAGTAGTGCACAGCTACACCTCTGAACCTCAAGCACGGTAGACAATCAAACAGAAATTACTTCTTATCTACGGATAGAGGTGACTTCGTATTCTCTCCGCAAGAAAAATAATGTAACATGACCAAAGGGCGCTCCATTTTTTGGTCTTCGGAAAAAAAATGGTTTCGCGACTACTGACGTCTTGATCTCCTATCACAAAAGTGACGAGTAATAGGTGCTGAAGTCAATAATTGCTGCTATCGGGAGCTTCCGACCACCTTGTTATTGGCGAAGGCCGAGCGGGGGGTTATTTGGGATGGGAGGATAACCACCTCTGTTGCTCTCACTGTTCTCACTCGTTGCTGCCTCGCGTATGTTGGTGCCTCTAATGTGTTAATAATTTTCTGTGTTTCTCGTCCCCGTTCGTTGTCCCCTCAGGCGGAGAAGGAGAACGACTCTCTGCTGCAGGCACAAGGAAAAAAGGAGGAGGACGCGCTTGCCGCGGCCATCGGGTCGTTCCAGCAGGACTTCACGACCGACCTCCAAGTGGTCAAGGCCGGCGGTGGCCCTTACAAGGCGAGGCGCTAACCTTAGCCGGTGCCCTAACTCCAGCTGGCGTACGATACATGTAGCCTTCTGTTTGTTCCCATCCCTTGTGTATCCGTTCCCTGCGGCCTGTCGACCCGAAGAGCTCCGATCTTGGGGGGGGTTGCACAGAACCCCGCTGGTGTACGCCTCTCTTTTTGTTCTTCGTGTGGGAAGGCTTGAGGTGCTTTTATTTTCGGGTGACTTTGTGGTCGCATCTCGAGGGTCGAGGCAAGTCAAGGATTATTAATAGAACGTTTTGCTAGCGTTCGCTGTATTGAAGTATGTTGTGGATGTTTTGTATATGCACGGCACAGCAAAGGGCCTAGGGTCCCCCCCACCACCACCACCAAATAAACAGAACTTACCTTGTCCTTGTGCTCCTCCGAAACACCACCAGCTGTCTTCGGTAGAAGATGCCGGCAAGGCGGCATTGGCAACCGCCCTCGCGGGACTCCGACGATCGCTTGGAGGCGTCAACGGAGGGGGGGAGACGGACCGCGTGGCTTCCCTGACAGGAAGGCTGGAGGATAGGGCCGCAGCGAGGGTTCTGGAGGAGAAGTCGGAGTTCGACAGGAGCTGCGCGGCGTCGATGATGGCGCTTGGGACAGAAGTGAGGGGGGGGATTAGTAGAGATGGGTCTGGGTCTTGTGGTACATCACAGGGTGATGTTGTCGTAAAGGAAGCAAATCGGTGTCCTTGTTGAGACATGCATGCCGTCCCCTCCCTTTTTCGATTGTGTTTTTTGTATTGGCAGAGAGCAGTCAAACTATCTGTTGTGGGCTCGTAAGTAGATTACGCGTCGTAGTGTATTGTCTCGCAGTCGCCGCCGCCCCCCCAATCCCCCTCTCCCCGTCCATGTTGGTGATACCCCCCCCCCCCTCACGCCTGTACGCCCCCGGCGGCGCTGACAGGAGAGGCGCAGGCTGCGGGAAGAGGCCCAAACCGACGTGTACCCGTTGCTGCCCCTGTACTCCAAGCACGAGCTAGAGACGGTCTTCCAGCCGGTAGTGCGGCGGATGAACGACAGGTTGGTATTGCTGTAGATATCGTTCCATATTTTATTTGGAGGCGTTGTCGAGGAGGTTTTTGTCCGCTGAACCTCGTCTTTCGGAAGCCTGTCCTCGTTGTCGGGCATGAGATATAATACCTGATAGCTTGTTTTGCCGTCTGGCTTGGGTACGTTAATGATGCTCGGTTTGTTGTACTTTATTTACGACGTTCAGCGCTCTACACCTCTAAGCAGACACAGAAGAGCCGAAAAATTGCTGCACGCATATGGATGGCCCTTTGTGACGTTGGTGTGGTATTCGGTAGAGGTCCATGTACTGGACAAGGCCGCCTAGCGCCAAGGCGTTTGGCCAGCGTTGCCCCGGCCAGCACTATGTAGAGTGTGAGATAGCTTGCGTCTGTGTCACGCGATAACGCCGTCCTTGCTGGCCTTGTTTATGCGGCCTTTTACAGAGACCACTACCCGTATTGTATGTACCGGTTTGGCGTGTTTATCGCTACACCATCAACGAGGACGGAGCACGCGAATTCGCTCTCCTTTTCTTGTTGCTGTTTGCGACTTCATCGCAAAGCTGAAAGCAGCCGTTTTTTTTTTTTTTTTCTACGTGATCTGGGTTTGTGAGTGTTTCCGTGTTCAATTGATACATCTCTCTTTTACCCTGTGACCGCCGTCCATCTTGAAACCGTCCAGGATCGATTCGTCCGCGAGGGGCTGGGCGTTGTCGGAACAGTTGCACGCGCAGCACATGGATTCCGCTAAATCGGATGCTGAGGTCAGACGGACGGACAGCGGTGTTGCTGTTGTGTTTAATCAATGTTCGGTATGTTTAGTGTGCGGGCAGCCCGCATTTTTCTCGCAATGGAGGGCTTGTAGCGCGACGCTGCTGATAGTCCTCTGCTGCTGCTGCTGCTGCTGCTGCTGCTGCTGCTGTTGCTGCTTCTGCGGCTGCGCTTTGAGTATGGCTGTCTCGAATGCTGTGGAAGCAAGCTGTTCTGGTTTATCTCCTTCCGTTTCTTGTTCCCCGCTGACCAAGCCTGAGGTTTGCTGCCGCCTTCTCTATGTACCCGCTGTGGATATCGTTGTCGATTCTTCCCTTGCATGCTTTTTCTCGAGGCTTAACCTGAACCTCTCCGTGGTTCGTCGCCGATTTTGATCGCGTGGTATACATTAATGCATACCTCAACTTGTGCATCTTTGTACGCAAGAGACCGCTCAGACGTTCATCACTGCCCTGCTGCCATCTCCTCACACACCACCCGCACTCTGATTGGTTGCTGCTTTACCTGGCTTCCCGTGCTGGGGATGACCCCGCCTTACCGGCAAAAACACAACAAGCAGGCGGTATGGCAGTCTCTCTACGAGCGCAACGAGCGGATGAAGCTACAGCGCGAGAACGCCGACATGGGCGCCCACGCCCAGCGTAACCGGGAGGAGGCCAAGCGGCTGAGGCTTCGCTTGGGCGAGGAGAGGAAGAAGGTTCAGGACGCGGAGGGAAATGCTCGGTGCGCGGTGGGGGGTAGGGGACGAAGGGTGGGCGTTGTGGTGTTGGTTTGCACCGCCGTAGCAGGTCGAAACATCGTTTGCTATTTTGGAGACGGAAAAAGGGTTCCATGACCCGGAGGGAAACGCGCGGTGCGTATGTATCGGGGGCGCGGGGGGAGCATGTGCGAAGGAACGTTATTTGTGGTTTTGGGTTGCATACGTCTGCAGCACGTCGATTTCTTCGTTTGTTCGGTTGCTGCGTTGTTGCGTGTGTACGTAAGACATAGGGAGTAGATGCACCTGGATGAGATGAGGATTAGCACGCGACGGCGAGCGCTACTCTCGGTTAGGGTTTTGGGCAGCCGACGGGTTAGATTTCTGCCGTCCTCGCGCGTCGCTAGACCAACGGGGGTGCCGTGCACTCCTGTCTAGAGCACCGCTGCCGCAACCGAGAAATTCGGCGGCGTGTCTTCTCGGCCTGAGTGTTTTCGTCGTTGAACGTCCTGCTCATTATTGCTCCGCATCACTTTTGTGAGGGCTTGATTCCTGGTCTTGTCCGGAATAAACTGGGATGACCAAATAAACAAAAATGGGCTTGCCTTCCGTAGTTGATGGGTGTGTGAACCGGTGAACCGGGGACTCACGAAGAGATCGTAAGCTCTGAACCCCCCCCCCTTCGGGATGACACACGTGCGATCGCTGTCTCCCCCCACTGCTGCATCCTGGCCGAAAAATACCTCACTTTTTTACCTTTTACGTCTTTCCCGTCTTGTTTTTTACCGAGAAAAGCGAAGCGACGGCGGCGGCAGCGCAGGCCAGGCTGGCCGCCACGACGGCGAATCAGCGTATGAGGCAGGCGGTGGGTGCCCGGGAGCGCGAAGCGGCGGCTCGCGAGCAGGAGAAGCGGGAGGAGGAGGCCAAGAGGGCGGAAGAGGTATCTACGTGTACGGCAGTACTGCGAGATATCGTGTGAATATGCATAGCATCGTATGCATCAATGTCGTAGGTGTTGGTTGTGAGTTGGTAGTATTGAGTTGAAGAGGTCCATACTGCTGGCTCCGAAGAACGCGTATTCGGTAAGGTCGCGCTGATGATCAAATTTTGCGGTGACCGACATTGAGGCTGTATTTCCTCTCTAGGCATCTTGTTCGCTCATCAACACCCAACACGGCGTAGCCCTCCAGTCTACAGCGGGAAAGGGGGCTCCTTTGAAACGGCAGATCGTACATTATTTTGAGCACAAGAAGACGGCGCACACTCTTACTCTACCGCATACGACACAAGATAATACACCCCCTGGACCGATTTTCAAAGCTCGATTGCGCCACGACCAAGAGGATACATAAACGAAACGGTACGTTTTCAAAGAGCTCTCGATCAGACGGCTTCAATGCCGCCGTTTTCGGCGCTGACTCTTTCTGCTGTTGACAAATCGAGGTTTGACAATCGGTCCACGGGATGTGTTATCTTGTGTCGTATACGGTAATCACCCCTTGTATTTATTGAATACTTTTTTTTCTGAGCAGAGGCTCGCCAATGATCGACCTGTGCATTAAACAGCTGCACCTGCCCAAACGAAAACGATTGACCTGTGCATTATACCATGCGTGTGCATTAAACAGCGCGAGAGAGCTGCCGCCGAGGTGGCAAGGGTGACGAACGAGGCCGCGGCGAGGGAGGCTAAGCTGGCGGCTGAGGCCGCGGAGGCTAGGGAAGCGGAGCAGGCGGCGGCGGCGGCAGCGGCGGCAGCCGGAGCAAAGAAGGCGGAGGTGGAGGAAGAGGATGATGGTGATGATGAAGGGTTCCAGGATGCCATGGATGTGGAGGAAGAGGTCAAGGAGAGGCCGAAGAGAGGGAAGAAGACAGCCGCCAATGTTGAGCTTCAGGAGGAGGAGGAGGAGGAGGAACAGAGCCCCAAAAAGAATGGTGAGATTGGCTCGTAGTCGTGCGTGTCGTCGAGAATCTGTTCAAAGCGGGTGTGTTCGTTTCCACGGTGAACGCTCCCGCAGCCGATTTTTGTTGTTGCCTGTTTCCCCCCGGCATGTTTGGCTTCAATCAGAAAGTTGCTGCATTTTTTTTTTTGCAAAGGATATCCTCGAGTAGCCATTACGTACTCAATGGACGAATGTGTGTTGATGACGTACGTGTGCCTCTTGTGAGCCAGATAGAACAATCGGAGATGTGGGCCACATCGCATTTTTGACGGGTCATGTCTTCAATCACTGTATACCCATAGTTCTCCCCCCTCGGCTCTGGAGGTTTTCTTGGATCCCGCCGTTTGGAGGGGTTGGTTCGGCGTACTCGCCTTTGCTCTTGGTCTCTTGAGACACGAACGGCGGTATCACCATGTCAGTGTGTTGGCACGTCTCCATAGAGGCTCTCGCGCTCCCTCGTTCATGATGTGATTCCTGTTTACCCTCGCTTGACGAAGGTTGGAGGGCATATTCTTGATGGAGAGAAGCATGGTTTGGGAACTGTGGGCTCGTAGGGGTCACGGCAGCACGATTTAGTGTAGGGGCCTATGTGTTACGGGGGGCTGGGGGGGGTGCTACGCTTTGATGTTGCGAGACCCTGCCGTGTCCAAAACCTGCTCGGTTTGCTCGAGATTGCCCCCCAACAGCCTTCTCTCTTTGTTTTCCCCGTCATGTCCGTGACCGCTACTGTTTACCCTGCTGCTTTGTTCCGCTTGGGGGTTTGCCTTGCTCGGCGCGATGTCGCCTTTGGCTCGACTCGGATGGCGTGGAATCAACGACAATGGCATGACTTGGACACTACGTGCAATCATCAGGGAAAGCTTCGTCTAGGCGCAAGACCATCATGACACCCATCGGCAGGGTGAGCGAGCAGATAGGCATGCTTTTGTGTTAGGCCTGCCCGTGCCGGTGTACGTACACCACCGCGGACTTGTGCAGTATGCAGCAAGAAAATAAAGGCAGTTCGTTGTCAAGATGACCAGCAGTTCTAGGCTGTAGACCGCTACTTGACACGGGTACAGGCAAGGCCGGAGTAGTTGCGCCTTTGGGCCCACTGCTGTGCTGGAGTGGTGTGCAGAAGCCTTCACCATACATATGATTGTTGTCAAAAAGCGTCATTGGGTATGCAAAAGTCTCTGGGAAGTCTGGTGGTGTTCTCCTGCTGCTCGCCGTTGCGTTTTGGACATTTCCGACAACGAGAAATCATATATTTACTACGGAGTACTGTGCTATTGCTACAGCTTCCGCTACTACCCGTGATGCCCTTGTCCGTGCGCACGGTCGGATTTGATTATTTCCAATTTTTTTTTTATGGTCTCGTTTGTTGTTGTGTTTGTCTTTACGCAGGACCCGGCCACTATGAAGGCGGCCAGGGAGGAGGCGGCAAAGCAGATCAAAGACAGGCAGGATGCCAAGGTGAACCGTGGCCAGCACATCCAACACAGACATTTCTGCTGGACCGCCTACCGTCTCTTGAGTTCAGGTTATCACTCAATCTTCTCTTCGATATTAGCGCTACCTGCATGCCTTCGATCCACTGCTTGTTAATCGTGTTCAACGTCTCCTTCACTGCCTCCCGTAGGACTGTGGGGTATGCTGGGTGGCGGTGGGGGGGGCTCGTCACGCAAAGAAAGCAACTGCCAAGGCAGTTAAAGAGCAATCTCTTTGGCGCAGGTGGTTGTTTTTTGTTGTTTTATCTGTTTGGCGCTTCTAGAAAGCGGTTACGCGGCAACGGGTGTAAACGAAGTAGTAAAGCTGTGGTGTCGGAATATCTCAATCACCATCCCTCGTTTGAGAGGGGTTAGGTGGTGCTATTGGACCTTGGACCGTCCGCCACTTCCGTGTGTTTAGCCTCCAGAGTCGGCAACCAGTTGAAACGCAGTAGGCGTTTTGCGCACTATCACTATTCAAAGGCTAAGCCCCATGGGCTATCTATCGGCTGACAGATTAGTTTCCCCTCATTTATCATAATCCGAGCCTGTGTTACGCGGATGGCAGCATGACAAAAATTATATCTTGGAAGAGGGCATGCGGCTCTCACTACGATTACCAAACATCAACAGCAGTGACCAGCGTTAAATATGTGAAGGCTAAAAAGTCATATGTCCCATTGCTTGTCGTACAACTCGCCGTGCTGTGGTGTAGACTGGCAAAGGCCTCCCAGCGGAAGAGGAAGTGGAGGAGCAGGAGCAGGAGCAGGAGGAGGAGGAACAGATCACCAAAAAGGGTAAGACGGGCGTACGGCTTGCAGTCATGTGAATTGTTCAGAAGCATTTTATGGTTTGGATTCAGTGCAAATGAACCAGTGTTTGTTTTCACGGCGAACGCTCTCGCAGCCAATTTTGTTGTTCCCTGTTTCCCCCGGCATTGTTGGCCTCGATCAGCAAATATGTCCACTTTGTTTTGCAAAGGGTAAGGGTATCCCCGAATGACAGTTACGACTCAGGCGAAGAAAATGTGTTGATGACGTGCGCGTGCTGCTTGTGCGCCGGCTCGACTAATCCGAGAAATGGGCCACAGCATGGAGGTATGTCTTCGATAATTGTAAAGTTTTAAGTTTCTCCCGCCTCGACCCTGGAAGTTTTCCGAGACCCTGCCGCGTCCAAAATGTACCCAGGTTTTCTCTAGATTGTCCCCCAATAGTAACCCTCGGTTTGTTTGCCCCGTCATGTCCGTGACCACTACTGTTTACCCTGCTGCTTTGTTCCTCTTGGGGTCTTGCCTTGCTCGGCGTCGTGCTGCCTTTGGCTCGGATCGGGTGGCGTGGAATCAATGTCGATGGCGTGACGCTAATCATCAGGGAAAGCTTCGTCTAGGCGCAAGACCATTCTGACACCCGTCGGCAGGGTGAGCGAGCAGATAGGCATGGTTTATTTGTTGGTCTGCCCGTGCCGCAGTAGCGAAGTTTTGGTCTTTGGGCCTACTACTGTGCGGGGGTGATGTCCAGAAGCTCTCACAATATGGTTTTTGACAAGTTTCAGTACGCGTGCAGAACTGGTATGTACTGTTGCTCACCGTCGCCTTTGAGCATTTCGACAATGAGACAGAATTGCCACAAGAACGGAGACTACCATCACGCTGCCTACGGCCATTGCTATTGCTAGTACTACTGCTGCAGCTACGGCGACCACCCGTAATGCCTACGTCCGGGCGAAGGAACACGGTCAGATGTGATTGGTTTCATGTTTTTTTTTGTCTTGTCTCTTCGCAGGACCCGGCGGCTATGAAGGCGGCTAGGGAGGAGGCTGCAAGGCAGATCAAAGACAGGCAGGATGCCAAGGTAAGCCGTAACACAGACATTTCTGCTGGACCGCCTGCTCTCCCTTGACAGCCAACCGTCTCTTGACCACCCATGGTCTCTTCAGGCTAACGCATAGTCTTGTCTTCGCTGGAGCCATTTCTACTGGATCGCCTTTGGTCTCTTGTGGTCATCACTCAATCTTTATCTTCGCTGTCAGCGCTACCCACCTACATGCCCTCGATTCCACCGCTTGCTAGCACTACACGTCTCCGTGAGGCTGCTGCTCACATAAGACGGTGGCCTATTTTATGGATACCGCCGAGTTATTTTGAGATGCACGTGCCAGGGGGGGAGCTCGTCACGCCAAGAAAGCAACTGCTGAGGCAATAAAAGAGCAATTCGTTCGGCCTAGTTGGTTGTTTTTTGTTGTTTCTTCACGTGTTTGACGTGTCTAGAAAGTTGTTGCACGACAAAAGGTGCGAACGAAATGGAAGGTCCGATGTTGGGATCTTAGTCACTATTCCTGATATCACCTCATTCTTGAGTTATCATGAAGGGAAGGATTTGCCCGATCCAATCGTTTCAGAGGGGGTGGTGCTATTGGAACGCCCTTCCGTTTTTTTTGCCTCCAGAGTCGGCAACCAGTTGAAAGGCAGTACGCATTTCGCGCAATATCAGCATTCAAAGGTTAGGGCCCGTGGGCTATCGACTCACGTACCACAATATCCAGCGTTGTTGACACATTTTTCGCCCTCATTACCCCACTCTATCAAGATCCGAGCCTGCCTGTTCTCCGCGGATGGTGGCAGGAAATAATACTGGGAAGAGTTGACGCGGCTTTCATTACCACTATCCAACAACACCCGTAACAAGCGAAAAAAATGTGAAGGCTCAAAGGCATTTTGTCCGGTTGCTTGTCGTACAACTTTTGTTGTGTTGTGGTGTAGACTGGCAAAGGCACTCCAGCGAAAGAGGAAGAGGAGGAGGAGGAAGAGGAAGAGGACAGCGGTATGACGGAAAGGGAAAAGTCTCGCCAGAGAGCGGCGCAATGGGCCAAGGATGAGAAGGCGAGAAAGGCTCTGGAGGCAAAGAAGAAAAAGGCGGCGGCTGCCAAGGGCGAATCAGCAGCAGCGACACCGAAGAAGCGCGGAAGGCGCTGAAATGTCGGACGAGAAAATACACACCCTGAGTAGGTTTCGAGGCATTTCCGACAGTAACAGTTGACAGTAGCGGCAGCCGTAGTGGCAGCTGTCCGGCCAAAGGCGAGATCGTGCTTCCGCCACCTGTTGGACACCATCATACCAAAAAGGTTGCTTCCCGGCTGTTTGTCGTTGTTGGGCACGAAGTGTCGCTTCAAGGCCGTGGACGCTGAGAAGAACACGGTTGGCTGCTCCACTGCTGCTATTTGAGGCTGAACAACCGACGATTAAGTTGATTACTGTAGGGTAAGAACACAGACATAATTGTGTGTTTTGTGCTGGTGTAGTAGACCCGGCGAACAGGAAGTGGTTCGGGTAGACAAGACAGAGAGATGTGTGGTATAATCAAACGTGTGGGCCATTTCTCCTCCATGACACTATTGTACATCAAGAAAAGGCGATGCGGTATGAAGAACTTGAGTCTTTTCCGCCCCCGTCCTTGTCCTTGAAGAACAATGCACTACATGTAATACAATGGCGTCCCCACAAAGAGGAGAGCGAGCCGTGCCCCTATGGGGAAGCGCACCGCTCGGGGCTGAGACTACACTGCTGCTGCTGTTCCTTCCCTATTCCCCCACGAAAACGCTAATAGTCAGTCTGCTTCGCAATCGAAGGCCGCAAACGGATACGTCAAGGTGGGCGATGACACTCAGAACGAAAACAAATACCTGGTAATGCATTTCTACCGGGGCATCCACTCATGAAGCCTACAACAATAGTGGTGTTTATTTCATCGCCTGGAGACACATATAATGGGACGGTTGAGGTATTCAGGGAGATATGTATGGCTATCACAACGATATTACTGTATACAAGTGACACCCGACATCAAAAGCAGGAGCAGTGCGTAACTATAATACAACAAATCTATGGCTTCCTCTCGTCGGACTAACGTCCCAAGACTCGAGTACAAACCGCGCGCCCCCAAAACGTTCTTTTTGACTACTATGCACGCGCGAAAACAAACGTACAACTACACCAACACCACTGCCACCATCTTCACTACCACCACCTCCAACCACCACAATTGCCACCATCACCATCCCTCCACCTCAACCACCAACCTGCTGTCGAACGTTTTTTCTATGACTTGAACCAACAACCGCGAAACACAGAAGAACCGTAAAGCGAGACACAAGTAAGTAACAATCTCCGTTCTAAACCTCTAGAATGAAGTGCACACATAAAAATGATGTCAAAGGGACCCGGAAGGACGTCGACGAAACGCCACCACGGCAATTGCATCGACAACAAACACTGCAGGCCAGGTTGGTTGGGCACCGATTGCCACCTGGGGTGGGAAGGTTGCACGCCGAAGCGTGCAGGAAATCTCGCATCTCGGATATTGGCGCTAATCCAACTCACACGGCGAACTGACAGCCTAAACAAACAACGTGTTCAAGGTCGATCAATCCCGCCGCCCCCAAACCTCCCCACCCCAACCTTCACAGGTAGATTGTTATCGGTGCCCAACTTCTGGCCACCATGGGAGAGCGGCGGGTCAGAAATGCTACAGCCTGGTCATGCAGCCATTTCCACCACATATCGCTATTCCAGAAGTTCCACCCGCGGTACGTATTTCTGAATAAGATGTATCTACTGTAATCCGTGTTTGCATTTTGTGGAAAACCGGCCGGATTGAAACGGTTTCGAAATTTTTTTTTGTGCCTCTAGAATCTGCGATCTACTGAAGGTCCATCGCACCGGTGCCGATCCCGGAACAACTCAACACGAGGATGCAAGCGCACATCAAGTAGCCGGGGGGGGGGGGACGTACTCATGTTTTGCATGCCTCAACGGTTAGACCATTGACCACGCGTCCTCGGTGCCCACAAGCACGCCTCAATCACACTGCCTTTTCGGCCTCTTTGCCGGCCTGGCGGCTGACGCAGCACCCGCCGCGTTCGTGAGCGAGGACAAGTGACCCCTGGGTGCTGCACCTGATCCCTGCTGATTGTGTGTTCGACGTATGTGCGCAGAGAGAGCAAACACGGAACATAAGGACGGTAGCGAGGCACCGCTGTTGTCACGTGATGGCTGGCGTTGTGGACAACGGCAGAAGATCGATATAAATACCGCCGCGAGCATGTCAAAAAGAGGCATGATGATGCCGGTAGACCTACTTACCTGGGACGAACCCCCTTCGCAACCGGCGACTTCTTGCACTTTTTCTGTAGTTTGGGGGTTGGGAACGGCCGGGGCCGCTGCTTGACCCACCGCCTTCTTGCCGCCCTCCGCAGGAGTCGCTCCCTGCCCCTGTAGCCCTCGCTCCTCCTCCTCCTCCTCCTCCTCCTCCTCCTCCTCCTCCTCCTCGTCCTCGTCCTCCTCCTCGTCCTCCTCCTCTTCCTCGTCCTCCTCCTCCTCCTCGTGTTCCTCCCCCTGTTCCTCCTCCTCCTCGTGTTCCTCCAACTCTTCCTCCTCCTGTTCCTTCGGCGGAACATAGGCCTCTCCCTCATTATCATCATCCTCCAGTGTGCCGAGAAGCACACAAGCGCGCGGCAGAGGCGAGGCGCGCGCTTCCAGCCAATGGACGGCTTCCTCCACGTCCCTCGACTCGAAAGTCATGGCGCGCCGGTACTCCACGAGGGTTCGGGCTACCCACATGAGCTCGCGCGACGTATGCATGATAATTAACCACCGGGCCGCGGCCCCCGCGGATGGCGCTTTGTCCATCACGGTTTTTACCATGCCCCGCGCCACCTCCCGTTCCCGTGCAAGGAGTTCCGGGAGATCGTTCAGTGACTTGACGAACAACTGAAACCGAGAAAAGTCGGGGGGGAGCGCGGGTGTGAGGTAAAATGAAACACTCTTCGAATGAAAGAGATCGCCCATTCTATATACCGGGGACTTGAAGTCCCTGCAGTGCGAAGGAGGCGGCAGGAACAGCGGTAGACGTAATGTTGCCGCATTTTTGTCCCTGCAGCTCTCTCTCTCTCTCCCCCTCTCCCTCCCTGTGCCAGAAATTCACGCGTGGCCAAATCGGCTACATATTATCCCTGGCCCTGCACATGACATGTCTCTCTTGTATACACTGCGAGAACCAAGAGTTGAAGAAACAATTTCGAAAGGTGGACGCATTCATGCACAATACGTTCTGTAGCATATTTAACCAGCGTTTAACATCTAACACGGTCTGTTACCGAGTACCGACCGTCATTTGTCTGCAGTCCCGAGCGCATGCGACCCGCAATGAAACATGAAAGATAAATGTCCAACGGCAGGTTTTCAAATTTGAATTTCAAACGTCAAATCGACGTGGTGCGTGGACAGAATGGAAAAGTAGTAAGACATGCTGCGTGCTGAAATGATGTGCGACCGTTTCATTCAAATCAAAACCAACACGTCAAGGGAATTTCGATGTTTTTGTTGCCCTTGCATACTTTGCGCAAGCAGCGCGCTTGCGCGAATGATCTCACCAACACCTCCGCCTCCGCCACGTTGTTGACCGCGTCTGCGATCGCCGCGGTTAGTTGCTCGCACTTGGCCCTAGCTGCTCTTGTGCCGGGAGTTTCCTCGCAGGTTCGAGCCACCTCGAAGGACACGTAGCTAAGGGTGGGCACGAGGTTGGCCATGATGGCTGCTGCTGTGGATGGGTGCAACAAGCACAACCCCCCAGGCAACACCACACGGGAAAAGAGCCGGTCTGTTTTCAGCAACCCCCCCTCCTCCTTGTATGCAACGGATATGGCGTCACCCCTCGACACCGGCAGCAGCCGCAACAGTCACCACACTGCATGCTTCCACGCACACAGGCCGACGCTCTCCGTACCCGCTCATGCGTGGAGGAAGCAGCAGGGCCATCATGAGCCTCGCTTTTGCTAGCAGAAGAGGGCTATCTCTCATGACACCCTTCCCCACGATGCTCGTGCGCAGCCGACCCGCCTTCACCCCGTCCGTTCCAGCAGCAGTACCACCGTCATCGCGCGGTGTCCTTGCGAAAACCGCCTGGAGCAACACCTGCGAAAACCACCGCCACCCCGTACAAGTAGCAGCACAGCTCCGAGCGCTAGTAGCTCCGCTGTCGATGGCTGCGGCGAGGTCTGGAACGGGCGGCGGCAGCCCCAAGAAAAGCGCTGGCAGCAGCAACAAGAGGAAGCCTCGACATGCTTCTTCAAGTGCAACAAGCTCGCCGCGCGGCGCGAAGAGGAGGCTCAGCTCAGGCCCCGAGGGTGGTCCTGCCGCGAGTCCTGGGACGGTGCCATGGGGCACCGGTGCTGCGGAAGGGGTGGGGGGAAGAGGCCGGGGTCAGGCGTCTGCCGGAGGGAGGGGGGCAGCCGTGTCAGCAGGAGCTGGGAGAGGGGGAAGGGGCACTATCGCAAGAGGTGACGCCGCAGTCGTCATCATGTGCTGCTTCGGTCCGACTCTGAACTCTGTAGTCTACCCTGACGGATTTGAAGTAGCAGCAGCAGCAGCAGCAGCAGCCATTCCGGGTCTACTTGCCTGTTTTGGTCCACACTCTACTGCTGTAGGTAGATGCACGGCGGGCGCGCGGTGGTGGAATATGCCACCAGTCTCTCTCCGTTTGTCTATCCCTTCCTCCGCCTATTGATTCAGAGTGCGAGCAAATCACTGCATGGACCGGTACCGGGCCCACTCGCATGTTTGCGCCAGCGGGGTACTGTAGCAGAGACAGACCAAAGTACGGGATGGTTTGGAACCGATAATCGCCACAGCAGTCTCGTTCGCGCTTTACCTTTCATACGAATCGATAATCTTGAGATGTGGGACCAGCAGACGCACTTTAACGTGTAGATGATTCGTCAGTGTACATGTACGGCTGTTACAATATACCCAGATAGAGGCATAATAATTCGCACGCGAAACGAACCTCGTCCTTTCCCCGCGAGCACGACAACAGGAATACCGTCATTACAGCAGTAGTTTCCCACGTGGGATTACGCCTGTTCATACCGAAGACCGAGGCACCACGAGTAAGCGCATGAAGATGTACAGTACTTTGCAGGTATGTATCGCACTCCCTACAACCGTTCCCCCCCCCCCCTTACTCCTTCCTCTCTCCCACGCCATCATTTCCATGTAGGGCTGCACGATAGGCGGCCGTACACCCCTCGACCCAAGAGCTTCGGCGAGGTACCTGAGGACCAGCTGCAGGTTTCCTTCACGAGGTAGATCTTGCTCTTGGAACTTTCTCCGCCTGATGTTTGGGGTCCTGCCGTATGGGCCTCCTCCCATTGGTCAATCCAAATATCAAGATCCCACGAGAGGCGAGAGAGAGAGAGAGAGAGAGAGAGAGAGAGAGAGAGAGCAGCAATCGTGCGACCAACCCGCACACATGAAGCTTGTGAATATATGAAGCCCATCATCGGTTGTGTCAGGCGCCGTCCCCTCCGTGACAGCCTAGAGTGCCCGAGGTCAGGTGTCATTATGGCCCACGATACTCGCTGCTACTTGCCAACCCCCATGGATGACATGTTGTAAGAGCCTTGCTTACGCTGAAAGTATGTATGTATCGTGGCAAATTGGATGGATAAAGGCTAAAAGGCGTAGAATACCCCGCCCGACGCCCGCTTTCCATCTTCGTCGTCAAGGGCATCAGGGGCGGGCGGGCAGAACGTGAACAAGGTTAGCACGAAGGTGGAGATGCGCTTCGTTGTTTCGGAGGCAGAATGGTTGCCGTATGACGTGCGACTGCGGCTGGCGCGTCAGGAGAAAGGAAGGATGAACAACAAGGGGGAATTGGTCGTGACGGCCCAAGAGTTCAGGCAAGAATGTTCTTTTTCGAAAGCACTCACAGCAGTGATTGTGTTGCATGTTGCTTTGGACGTGTAAGCGGCAGCTGCTTGTCGCAAGTACCTCAAACGTGGGCAAAAGCTGCTCGGGTTGTTCATGTCTTCTGCAGCTTAGGGCCACGCGCTAAGGTATCCGGGCAAGCCAGAACGTTTTGGCGGATGCGGTCGCTCGGCTGCTCTTGACATACGAAACCCCGTGGTGCCGTGTTTTTCCATGATGCTGTTTTCAACTTCCGTTTCCGGCGTTGTTCTTTCGATCGTTTCGCACGTTAGCTCATGTCGGATGTTGTCGCCCGCAGCGACAAGCCAGCTGGGAAAGGAAAGGCATCCTTGTAGCACAAAAGCGTAGTATGTTCACGTTTTGAACGGGCTCTAAGGTGGGCTGCCTGCGGTTTATTTTGTGTGTTTCGCGGGTTGGTTCACTGCTCCTTTCGTTGCCCTTCGGGAAAACAGGACGCAGAAGCAAAACCGATCCCAGGCGCTTGCAAAGCTGCGAGAGATGATCAACGAGGCGTGGGAGCCGGCGAAGGAGAGGAAGATGCGCACCGGCATCAGCAAGAAAGGGAAAGCCATCCGCAAGCAAGATAAACTACACAGATCGAAGGCAAGCCGTACGCGTTTGTTCCATCGACTAGGGGGTGTGTGTGTGCGTACTCACAGCCGTGCATGCCTTAGCGGTTAGACCATTGACCTCGCATCCAAACAAAACCGGGACGAAGCACGCCGGGTTTTCGCCGGGCCAGACTAGCACATCGCTAAGCGGGGGGGGGGGGTGGGGAGGATGCATTCATAGTCGTGCATGCCGTAGTCGTTAGAGCATTGACCTGGCATCCCTACAAAGCCGGGACGGAGCACGCCGGGTTCTCTACGGACCAGGCTCTCACACAACGAAGCGCGAAGCGCCGTGAGGTATTCGGCGAGTCGCATGAAGGGTGTGCTGCATCCTGCTAAGGGTGTTCGGGGGGAGGGGACTAACGTCGGGTGTGTGTATCGCTGCGCCTGTGGGGGCAGAGAGGTACCAGGCTTGGCTTCCATCGACCTCAAGGTCTGTCGCCGTCGTCTGTAGCGGTGTGTGGCCATTGTCGTGGTCGCGGGGACACTGGCCCCAGGATTACGCTTGGTAGAAGAGTTTCTTGTTTCCATGTGGAGGTAGTGAAGTACTGATGCTTAAGCTACGAACGGTTCAAAGTTTCAGCATATGTGCAGATGGCATGCAATGTATTTAGTTTGCCCTGACCTGGGTGGTTGAAATCTCGCCTCCTAATTTCCCCGAAATGCCGCCGCTCTCGCCGGCGCCTCTACCCCGTTGCATGACCGCAGGTCAAGGCTGGCCGCAGCAAGCTGAGCTCGAGGGATTACGATTAGTCTTTGTCTCAGGTGGCTGCATCAATCTCATCTCAAGAGATCTGTGGCGTCAGCTGGTCTCGGGCGGGCGTAGTTATTGCACGCCCAGGTTGACGATGTCGACCAAGATTGTCTTATGGCTCGAGAAAGTGGGGTTCACGTTTCTTCGCTCGAGAAAGTGGGGTTCACGTTTCTTCGGACTGCTTTAGATTTGTACGGTACCATTATGTGTCTGGTTTTGTGTCCGAAATATGTGTACATACTCGACGATGTGATACTTGGCGCACGGTTCAATCCAAGATCATGTGCATTTTCGGAGAAAAACTGTTTAGCATGTGGATGGTGAGTTTTAAGCCACTATATATTTTGCTGAGATGGATGCGCGCGGTACACAAGAGTTGCTGAAATGGTTCAGTTCGTATATTCTCGTGCCACGTTCTGTTTCTAGGTCATGGGTTCGAGCCGTTTGGAAATAAAAACTCGCAAATCAGACGCGTAAAAAGCATTCTAGTTCTAGCCATGAGTTACCTGCAACAAAGAGAGAAAGAGACTGCTGAGCCCAAAATTGAACGCAAGGACCGTAGGTGATTGAGAATTATTCTTTGAGTGACCCCGGCTGTTGCGTCGAACATGTACCAAGGTGCATCTGCCTCCCGGAATAGATGTGTCTAGATGGGACGGAAAACGTTAAAAAGGTTAAGGTTTGCACCACCTCTCTACTGAGGAGGAGTGACGCCATTGATTTGCTGTCGTTCAATAACGATTACACGAGCGCGCGTATGGCATACCGTCTCTCTCGCCGTTCGCGACGAGCTGTCGATGTGGGCATCAACGGTGGTTGTTGGTAATCGATCGATCATTCGCCTGACGAGGGAGAGACTTACTGAAACATCACAACCAACCGCCAAAACACACACACTGGATGGACCTCGTGAAAGAAAGGCTGATGCAAAGTTGGGGCGTTGCTGCTAATGGTGAGAGAGGGATGTTGAGACCACGAGCGTGCAACACTAGACTTGAGTGAATGTATTAAGCTGCGGGGGTGCGCTCGATGGGATGTTATTTCGGCCGAAATGAGACTTATAGAGGTATTTTGCAGTGCCGAGAGTGCCCCCGCCCCCCCCTACCCGAGAGACAAGGAAGGTGAGAACGGCTGGCTGTCCATAACAGAGCAGTTATAAACATCGTCTCTAGCCCGCAAAAATACCCGATGGAGTAATTTTGTTGGGTTTGTGCCTATCTATGTTTTATGTGCTACATACTACACACAGCTGCGTAGAACTCTGCTAAAAGTTTGATGCATGGACACTTCACAGGTGGACGTCCACCCCCCTTCGCCAAAATGTCGGATACCCTCGCCCCCTTGTGGAGACCTGCTTGACAAGGTCGAACACCTTGGAGAAGACAACCACGGCCTCGAAAGGGGAGAAATCGAGGTATTTTTGAGGCCTTGGTTGTCTTCTCCAAAAGGTGTTCGACCTTGTCAAGGTCTTCACGAGGGGGCGAGGGCATCCGACATTTTGGGGAAGGGGGGTCGACCTCCACCTGTGTTGCTGCTGTGCTTTGTCACTGAACCCGACTGAATATTCATTCCACGGCACACAATTCATGATTCAGTCCAAAGTTAACTGAGGCCATGATCAAGTTACAAATCGGAGCGACGGTATCTACAGCAGTAAAGTGGCACCCAGATTGTGCAACAACACCGTCCACAGAGCACATATCTACGCATACATGATGAGCAACTAAATGAACGAAAATGCCAGCCGGGCAGGGGACAATGAGATTAATCCCCGAATACGAAGGGTGGCGTTCTGATCGAACGATCCTTGGGAATCCAATTTCAACACCGCACACCATCTGCTGCTTATCCTTTTATCCTATCCTGACATTCCGTCCTCTTCCCCGCACCTCTACACGTCTCCCAAAACTATTCTTTTTGGCGTTAACATGGCACCGATGAGGGTAGCATGCTTGGTAGCTGGGCTGGCGGCTTCGACGACCGCGGTTCACGTGCCGGAATCGCCTGTCTACTCCCTTCAGGTGCGTTATCAAATGGAGAAAGGTGTCGGGTACAGCGGTAAAACCCTGCTGCTGCTGCTGCTGCTGCTGCTGCTGCTGCTGCTGCTGCTGCTGCTGCTGCTGCTGCTGCTGCTGCTGCTGCAGCTGTAGCTAATATTTTGCAGGGCCTGCAGAGTTTGCACAGAAGGCCACGACCTTTTGTTGCGTGCATTTCCTCGGGCCTCGCTCAGTACCGCCTGTGGAGGGTGTGCGTGTGTGAGCCCTGAGGCAGCAGGAAACTGCTGCTGCTGTTGTCTATGGCAGGTTTTGTGTTTGAAGTTGTACCGCTCGCGCGCGCTCTATTTCGTTGAGCGTGCTGCGCCGTGGGCTGGCGTGTGTCACCAATTCGAACGTCCTTTCCTACATAATCCCGATATGCCCAACCCGAAAAGAAACTCTGGCGGCAACAGTTACTCGGCAAAATCGTGCCCCTGCTGTATATTAGGTAGCCTGGACCGCCTTGATGTATGCAAAGGGCCGTGTGAAGTCGCGAGCCGCGTTGGCTGCACGACTCTCATTGGCTGTCTTTGCAGACGCGTTCTGCAGTAGATAGAGTAGCAGACAGCGAGATCATGTTTCTTCTGACATGTTGCAGCCAGCACGGAGGATGCGGTTGCGGACCAAAGGAGTGCGAAGAATTACATGTGGTAGTCATGAAGAACGCATTTTTTTATGATGAAGCAACAGATTTCATCGATGTGTCGTCGGTGTCGAATGTATGTAGTCATGAGCGCTTCCTGCCGTGGACCAACACATGTAGTCATGTTCGACCTGGGTTTCGTCATACGTAAATATTTAAGCAGCTGCTGTGTAACGTATCATGCCGCTATCGTTCGTCCACAGCACACATTCCATGTGAGACTGCAACTTTTCGAATTCCCGTTTTTCGATCACGAAAGACACAAATACAACAGAGAACGGTTTGTAGATCGGTGGCGATGCGTGTGTTGACCGTTGTGTTTATTGTTGTTCTGCTCTCTCTCTCTCTCTCTCTCTCTCTCTCTCTCTCTGACAGAAGGCGAGGAACCTCAAACAGCAGTCTCCTGTTGGTTGTGTTGGTCGCTGGCCTTGCACCCAATGTTGAAGTGTAAGCGAAAAGCCACGCACTATCTCTCATCCATTAAGGAATAATTAAAACACACACAGAAAGACTACCCATTCGAGATATACCCACAGTCGAACGGGATGTGGTGGAGCAAAGTGAGCATGTTGAATCAATGTAAATCACCGCTTGGCCCATCGATAGTGTCGGTGTTGGTCTCCATATCGGAAATACACACTTCTTTATATTACCCTATTTATAGCACGATCACGCTAACCTATACAAATGCTTAGTGCTGAATATTGCCACCTATCCACCGCCGTGCACTGGCCTCACGGTCAACCGGTGTTGTTTTGGGGCAAGGTTAGGGGTTGGGTATCATGAAGAGGCTACTGCATGTATGCATACATGTATGAGTTCTTGTAAGAGTGTGTAGCAGGGTTGTTTGTGCCATCACATGCATGTGCTTCTTTATCGTTGGCAGGTGGTGTGAGGTGTGAGGGTTGAGGTTATAGCCAGGCGCTCGGGCACATACAAAACCTCAGCGAGATGATGTGCACTGAAAACAGCAGTAGCAGCAGCAATGGTTGGTTCGTTCCCACAAGAGATACAGCAGTAGTATTGTAGTGAGCCATGCACCACGATATCCAAGCCCATTCATTATTCGGGTAAACAGGTTGTGGGCATAGATGCATGTAGTCTCGGCTGTGCATATGCACGTTCGGTTATTTGGCCGGTCGCCCCGGTGGTCTAGTTGGTATCCGCGAAACCTTCTACTAGAGGTCAGGTCAGGGGTTCGAATCCCGGCGTAAGCGAGCTTTTCTTGCAAAGTGAATTTTTCTCTCGCTTCTGCTCCTGGTCTAGTGGACAGCGCTATTTAGTTCGTGTGTACAAAGAGCGCATTAAAAATCGAAGGCAAAGTACCGCAGGAGGGGAGGGTAGAGAGGGGCTCTTCTGTGCGACCACGGGTTGGAGTAAACGGCACTATAATAGTGCTGTGAGCGCTGATTTGAAGTGAAGACAAAAAAAAAATGCACGAGAGTCAGCACTATGTACTGGTAGATGCGGGGGGATTCATTCACGTAGCGGGATCATAACTTCACGATGACCCTGGCCGAATACACCACACAAACACAAGAATGACAATGACAATATGAAGACAACAACACAACCAACAGTAATTTAACGCTTGTCACAACAACCGTTGTATTTTACCCCTTGTCATACTTCGCTGGACGGTGACCACCACTACGATGTTGCTATTTCAGGGAGGCGGTAGCGGCCTGGAGACGAAGGGCGACTACCTGGAGAACAAGATCGCCCGCGGGGTGTACGGCAGCATCGACACCACTACCAAGGGCGTGGTCGGTGTCTTCGGCCTGGCCGCGGACGAGGCAAAGCAGGCCAACAAGGCCGCTCACGCCGCGGCCAGGTCTGCCCGAGAGTCGGCCAGGGAGTCGGTCAAGCACGTCAGGTGATGGTTCGACCGCTACATGTACAGTAGTGTTACTCGGGTCTCGGCGAGGGAAGGAAGTGGTCAAGCACTTCAGCTGATTTGTTGATCGGCCGCTACTCGATTGGTTGTTGTCGTTCGTCATCTACATATATATGCATACCTCCCACCTCCCATGTTCAAGCGCCCGAAAGACCCAACCAGCGAAGAGATCTCGTCTTTTTTCTTATTCTTTCCAACGCAATAAACCCATCTCTACATACATATCCACAGGCAAGGATCTGTTCGTTCGTTGTTTCTCGCAGGAAAAATGCGCAAGGTGTTGGTTATAGACACCTAACTTTTTCAATGATTTTGTTTTTTTGCTGATCCGTTCCTTTTGCGGCTGGCCTTGTTGCGTCGCGCGCATGCATATATGCACGTGTATCCACAGGGAATCCGTCCACATCCCCACCAAGATCGGCTGGCCTTTCGAGGAAAAGGCCCCCGAGCCCCAGCCCAAGATGTCGTGGGTCGGCGGGGCCAAGCAAGTGGTCGCTGATGAGAGGACGGCCTTGGTGGGTGCTGTTAATTCCTTTTTTTTTTTTTTCTTACAAAGAACACATGAAATCCATCTCTTCCACAGAGCAGAAGAGTCCGTGGTATATGTATTAGAAATTTATAGTGTGTTGTTGGTTACGTATCGCTTCAAGATTTGGAGAATGGTTGTCATCCCGGCTCGCTGCTGTGGTGTAAGGGGTGACCTATTTATTTCTCAAGAAGTTGTAAAAGGCATGCATGGTTTGGAGGACGCAATAGCGGGGCAAGTACCATATGTAGCCACGCGTATGCAGCTGTTTGTCTGCGACGCGCATCAAAACAAATTAATTCGTCTCTCCTTGATGTGTTCCCTCCCTCCTATTCCCCCCGACCCCCTCCTTTCCTGACCCCCCCCCCCGCGCTATTCCGTTTCTCCGGGTCCCGTCGTCTTGTGGCTGCGCACGCCATCACCAGAAAAAGTTCATCGGCAACCCCAACAATGCCTTCGTGGCCCAGGGCGTCACCGCCCTCCTGTTCGGTGGCCTCCACCTCGCCAAGTACGACCAGTTCGTGGGCAAGCTTGCCCAGCCCCTGTGCAGCCTGTTCGGCCTGGAGTGGGGGCCGGGCACCGTGGGCCCTTACATGAAGTGAGAGCCATATGTATTATTTGTTGTTGTTTGTCGTTGTCGTCTTCATCGCACGAAGTTGTTGTTGTTGTCTTGACATAAAAAATCGTTCCGGTCGCCGCTCACAGCTATACAGCAGTACTGTGTGAAGAATGCCCTTTCCGCGCAAAAACCCAAGATTAAGGCTCAGCAAACGGGGAAGTGGAAGAGGAAGAGATTTAGAGCCAGTCAAATTCGGGATCGATCGTACGTCTAAGCTGGTTCCTCAACGCGACCTTTCACCGGTTGGTTGTTGGGACACGTGCGCGTTTTGTGTCTACTGAGTTACGAGACGGCTGTCGAGGGAAAGCTGGCGAGTTCGCTGTCCAGCTACCCGCCAGCTAGTGTTGAGTATCTTCCCTTGGTGATCATGCACACACCAAGACGGAGGGCCCACAACCGTTTCCTGTTGTTTGATTCTGTCGAAACAGTAAATGAAAACAACGATACGTTTTAACAGACCAAACTGTACGCGCCATGTCGTCCGTGAGGTATGGCAATGATGTCCTCCTCTGTCGCGTACGTAACATGCACGTAACTGCTGTCTGTTGTTTCGCGTCGTCTGTGCCTTGTCTTGCGTGCTTGTGCGTCTTGTGTCGCTTGTCTGCGTGCAGGTTGATAGGAGCATACCTTGTGGGCGTCTTCTTCTCGGACGTGCTGGCCTACAAGTCCAACAGCGCCGGCTTCAAGCGCGGAAAGGTGCGATCCCTGACGACGGTTACATAATACGTCACCAGTTTGTCTTTTCCTCCCAAACCGTCTGTTACGATTATTGTTATTATTATTATTTATTATTTATTTATTTATTTTTAAAATATTATTTATGATTGTTGTTGATGGGTATGCCGGTGTAGTCGTTTTCTCCTGCAGCCATGAAGTCGGGGTCATTCCGAAGGGAATATATCCCCGAGCCTTCCGCCTTATTTATTTATCAGCGGTGTTGCCCAAGACTCCATATTGAAGGGGTTCGGCAGAAATGGGGGGGGGGGGGGTATCGTACGGAAGTGCATCTTCACCCCCCCGTCCTGAATGTCTTCTTCAACACCTACCACTTGACGACCGTACAAGCAGTGTCTTATTTGTTTCGTGAATATTTTCCTTGAAATACGAAGGGCCAATAGGGTTGCTGAAATTCTCTCGCGGTGAATTGGTGAAGGCAAGTGATCTCTGTGTGCCCCCCGTCGGCACCCACCCACAGAGTTTCCGAAAGATAGCTTTAGCATAGATTGATAAGGCCCAATCCCGCGTCGAATTGTGATAATGGAACAACGTATACATGGAAGCGGTATGTTTTCGTTGCTAATTTAAAGAAACATGCCGAGGAATGCCGCCTGTTGTTTCTGTATTTCGATTTCGGTGTACGCTGCTGCTCCACTGAGCCCCCCCCCCTCCCCTGGCGCCTTGCTGGGCATGAAAACGTGCTCCTGCGTCGCCGTCTATTGTGCGATGGTTCTTGTCGTCCAGATCTGGCACGAGATGGGCTCCTGCATCGCCATCTCCACCCTGTGCATCACCCAGATGTTCTCGGAGACGCCCGCCGACGTCGTGCCCCACGCCATCGCCGCTTTTGTCTTCGCCGGGTGGTACAGCTACCTCTCGCAGCAGTACTAAATTGACAACTAACTGCCTGCTGTTTGTTTTTTGGGTTGGTTGTTTCTGACTCTCTCTCCGTGATGAAAATAGCGTAGGATGTGAACGATGTAGACCGTTGTTGCCCCGTTGACCAGAGAGAGAGCAAGCGGCGGTCGGTCTTTCCTCGCACAAAGGAGCCCGCTGGAGAACGGTTTTCTCCCTCCATGGCGTGTTTTGGTCGCAGACAGGCACGCATCGTCTGTATCTGCAGGTAGGTAGCTCTGACCTCTTCGCATTTTCCTTCTAGATGTTGCTGATAGATTAATCCTGAATCTTGTATGTGCATGGCGGAGGCGTGCTTGTTGTTGTTGACGAGGGCGAAAGCTCGTTGGTTGTCGTTAAGGCGCGCTGCGGCCGGCAGTGGTGCCGCAGGTTTTGCTACGCCGAATTCGGGCACCGAAACACGCCTCTGTCTCGAGCGTTAGCAGCAGCGGAGGAGGAGCTAAGGTTGGAGCTAGACGCGTGGTTTTTCTAAGCAAGGCACAACACTCGCGTACCCTGCCCTGTTGTTGTGGATATAATAGTAATTTCGAAGAGATTATGGCTGCGTGCGCGTTGCTTATAATTGGATTCTGTTTTTGTCTCTGCCTTTTTCTGTTTGGCCTCTCTGAAATGAATGGAAGGGTCGGCTTCAATCGGTTATTTTCTTTTTTTCCACTCCTTGTCTTTAATGCACGCCTCCACGCTTTGTATGTTTCGTAACTCTCCTTCTTTCTTGTAGACTATGTTTATCTGCCTGTAAAAATGGGGGGGGGCGGGGGGCGGGGTTGTAGATGACGGCGTGGGGTGGGGAGGGGTGACGGGCCCAAAAGTAGAGAGGGGGTGCGTCTCCTCAGCCTTGCTTAGAGCTACTGCGGTAGATGAGATAGATCATCAGAGAATGATGGAATGAGATGGGACGATGGGTCATAGAGCGTCGGATCGTACAGCTAGCTGTCTCCGCGAGGGGGGGTTGCTGTTTTTGTGGTACTTTTCTGGCATGAGCGAAGCGGTGGAAGACGCGACTCACTCTGAAATAGTACCGGATTAACAGCTTGGTCCCTTGTGCTATTGCTGTTGGATACCCCGGTCTTCGATTGGTTTTAATTCCATGTACGCATGGCGCATTGAAAAGCGCAGTGTTGTCTGGCGCTGCTGCCTGGGTACTTGCTACATACTGTTTTCTTCAGTAAGGGAGATAGGTGTCGTTGAACAGTCACAAGCGAATGCATGCATCCATCCCCCTGGCCTGTATCCAGGGTTGGCGCATCACCGTGGTCGTTGGAGGTTGAGACGAAGATGACCGAAATCAACCCCAGCCCCCAATTCATGCGCTTCACTATTTATCTATTTATTTGATGCCAAACAAAAAGACTCGCTGACGTGACAATGTTGATACACTGGGAAGAACGAGGATATCTGAAAAGCTGTTCATCGGTCAAGCAATCAACAAAGGAGAGAACGCTCAGCAGTCATTACACACACGTACGTCCAGCTATGCATACGCGTGTGAACGGCCGCGTCTTCGCCTTGGGAAGAGGCAGCCGGTCTTCCTGCCTTTTTTTTTTTTTTTTTTTCGCAGCGGTGACAGCAGCAGTCGTCTACCATTGTTGTATGTGGCTCTTCCTCCACCAACACGCGTCCTCGACCCATCAAGAGCCGCAATCGCCCCCGCGTGCTGTTGCCGACTCGAAAATACGTCGTATGCATTCACATGAAAAAGACATGTAGTAGCCTTCCTCCGTAATCATCTCTAATCATGCCCGCATGATACCACACCATGATGAAACTAACTGACTCGTGGTGGTGGTGGTGTTTTGGCATGGCTTTGGGTAAAGCTTTTTACACCCGTGCACTCGGTGGCCGTCCACGTGGTGCATGCGATACAACACATCCCAGAGACAACAAGACCCAGCGGGTCTTCTTCCGAGTGCAAAGCAACACCATGACAACAACCAAGGGGCCGCCCAGGCCAATCTCTCTACACCTCGCAACGACACGTACGTCCAACAGATCATCAGCCTACTTATTTTACGCACACGCTCACACTTACGGAAGGTCAAAATAGAATGGTGGGGAAGAGAATAAAATACCGACGCCCTACCTACACACAAAGTACGTACAACAAGATACACCCATGGACTTGACCCCCTCAAAAAAAAAAAAGGAGTAAACGTGGCAAAGCTCTCTTACTCCGCAACTAGGACGGTGCGAAGGCCAAACAACATGTCTAAGGAAAGATCTCGACGAGGTAATTCCAAAACCGCCCTTTTCGGCAGTGTTGCCTTCCTAGTTGTCGAGTGGTGAAGCTTTGGAAAACGCTAACACCCCTGTGCGGAGACCCGCATCCTTACCGTATTGGAGTAACGGTAGCCCCCTGCTTCGGTGTTTTTGGGTAGAGAGGATGGATGGAGTCCCCCTCGCACCACAAGGGTCGCAATGGACCCGTTTCGATGAAGCTATGGTACCCGGCGAAACACTGCGTTCCATCCGTTCGATCAACAACAGCAAACGGAAGCGCCCCAACAAAAAAATAAACAACAACAAACTTGGACATGAAGGATGCACACGGACGAACAATTCGGTCGAGAAGACGAGTCCGTTTCCATGCGGCGCACGGACACGGAAACATCATTTTTTTTGGTTCTGGCGCGCCCGTGCGCAGCGCCGCCGTGAACTCACACCACAGGAAGGCCAACTGCGAAACATGGCCACCGAGACTCGGCCGACAGTAAAAAGACGAGCCGACTACACTTTCTCGTCTCGGTAGACATTTCGTCGGTACAAGGATGAGACTCCGAGCTTTGACCCAACGTATCCCAACTGCCTGCCTCGGCCAAAGATACGCGTCCAATCAGAACCCGGCGGTCGTGGAAGCCCCCCCCCCCTCCCCCCGTCCGGCGTGGATTTCCTCCCCACCAAAAGCTGAATGAATCCA